TAAATCTGCCTCTGCTTACACATTCATGGGGGTGACATCTCAAAGCGATAGTGGCTCTGAGAGATGGGATGCTCTAAATCTGATGTCTTATATGTGTCATGGGGCAGGTCCCTTTTCCAGCATCTGTTTTCCCTGTGCACAGTAATTCAAACACCTTCCATGAGTAAGAGACAACCAGGTGAGCCAACAGGTGAGGGAGTGTCTTTGGCACTGGGCAATTTGTGCCACTGGACAATTGTCACCAGTTTAGTGACCATTTCAAACCTGGAAATGAAAAAAAGACCATTTTTCCAACCTGGAAATGGTTCATAAAGGTCTATTTCTTTTGTCACAAAGGAACAAAGAGGAACCACAGTTTGTGAAAAAAGGTGACCAATCCCACAGGGCCAGGTTAAATGCTGCTGGCGAATCTTTGGCATTAACGGTCCAGGTGTACTCTGGGTGGTCCAGGAAAGGGCTTGGCACAAAGCAGGCTGAAAGAACAAAGACTTTTTTGGTCATTTTTGCAGTTAAATCTTTCCTTTGAAATACTCAGAAACCCAGTGGAGGGTACCTATGCATAGATTGTTCAGAAACAATAGTTCAGGAAAGTCAGCTCAGATATTTTGAGACTTTTACATTCTTTTCTCAGCTGAGTTCATCAGAAAGTATATATCTTTCACAGTCTTTTCTGTTGTGTTTGTCACTTCACCATGTCCCGGGGTGGAAAAGCTCTTTCTACATCATAGTTCAGGCTGGTCACAAAGTGCTTGATGCTTCTGTCAGAGCTGGAGCACACCTTGTGATGAGAGTATCACCAAGTAGCACTATCCCAGATTGGATGTTCTTTGTGTTCATTTTAACTGTTTTCATCTCCTTCCTTTTTAGCTATTATGTCACATGCATTGAATACGGCTGGGGGACCAAGGTCCTAAGCACAGTCTCTGCCTCTGAAAGTCCTCAGTAAAATTAGATAAGACAGGCAGGCAGTGAAAAAGAGACAGGATGACTTGCATCATTTTCCAGGTAGAAAATGACAGCGCAGGGGTATAATGTGGAGGTACAAGGTCTCCCGTGTGGACTTAAGGGCAGAGCAGAGAACTGCTACCAGGACCTTCCAGCCTTGGAAGTGGTGAAGAGTCAGAAACTCATGGGTCTTCTCTAACTTTGCAGCTGACTGAAGGAACTGTTTGCTCCATCGTACAAGAGCTGTCAGATACCAGCTGCCTGAACGTCTGTGTCGCTATCTGGCTAGAAGCTTTCCCTTCTGACTAGGTTTCAGAAAGTCAGTCTGAGGTCTGGCTGGCTCCACTACACTGCTTTCAAACTCAGACATTCAGTCCCAGCCCATCCCTTATTCACCAAGTTGGGAGCCCCTCTCTGCACAAGCTGTTGCCCTCACCTGTGGTGAAGATGTGTAATGAGGAATGTGTTTTGTAGCACTGCAGTGTTCTGCACTCTGTTAGCAACAGCACAGGCAAAAAACTGAGAGGAGTGATTGTTCCCATCTGCGTGGCACTCATGAGATCACATCAGGGGTCCTCTGTCCACTTTAAGGCTCCTCAGTGCTACAGAGACATCAACAAACTGGAGCAGGCCTGGCAGAAGGATCATTAGGATGGGCCAGGGGCAGGAGCACAAGACATACGAGGATATCTGAGAGAGCTGAATTTGGCCAGCCTGGAGAGGATGAAACTGAGAGGCATCTAGCTACAGTCTTCCACTTCAAAAGGGAGTTTAAAGAGAAGGCAGAGCCAAATTCTTCCCAGAGGTGCACAGTCAGAGGACAGTAGTAATGGCCACAAGGTGCAATGAGGCAAGTTCCAAAGGGACGTTGAGGAAAAGCTTCTTCCCCACAAGGGCGAGGCAGCTGGGGACTGGTGCTCTGAGAGCCTGTGGGATCCCCATCCTTGGACATATTGAGATCTCAACTGGATGTAGTCCTGAGCAAAGTGATCTGACTTTGAAATTACTCGGCAAGCCAGTTGGACTAGAAACCTCCAGAGGTCACTTCTAACCTAAAGCTTTCTGTGATTGTATTATTGTGCATTTCCCTGATGTCTGTGATAACAAGAGCAGTTACTGAGAAGATGCAATGGTAGAGGTTCCTGCCTATCCAGAGACACTCCTTTGCTCCAGGTGCAAGAAAAAGCGCTGAAGTTGCTATAGTCATTCATCTCACCTGCCTCCTCCCCAACATGCAGCATATTTGCATCATTAAGTCTCATTAGATGAGCCCCACCTCATCCATTTGGTTCTTTTTTCTGAGCCAGAGGAGGGCCGGTTCACCAAGTACACAGCTGCCTGGGCCATGGCTAGTGACAAATGATTCACACGTGCATGGAAGTGGGAGAAGAGCATCCCAGGGACCTCACTCCTACCTGGAGGAACCTAGAGCTGAGGAGCTTCTCCGGCTGCAAGGTCAGCCATTGAACCCGTGTCTAAATCTTGGAACGTTGCACCTCCTGGTTTTGTGGTGGGATTGGTCTGGGTGTATGCAGCCTCTGTCCTGGAATAGCCTATATGAGTGTGGGGTCAGTTCCCAGAGTGTGTGCAGCTCAGATGTTCCAGAGACACCATGGGCTGTGTACTCATCTCAGTCTAGTCCAAATCCCTGTTACAGGGCCATCTGTAGCTTGGTCATGTCTTCCTTCCAAGACCTTTCTGTTTGTCTTGGAGATTTCAGGTGTCCTATGAAAACTGTGTCAAGGAGGAAGCAGCAAGCTCTGGCAAGAGCTGACAGGCTCCAGAAATGTTACCTGTGTGTTATCTTAATACCAGCATGAGAAACTAACCCCAGGAGGTTTTAAGGATGGACCCTGAAGCGGTGGGACTGGGACATTGAGGCAGGAGGGAGTCAGTGCTATATGCCACGGAGCAAAGGAAAGTCTGAGATGATGAAGAGAATTTCAGACTGGTGGTAATGAGGTTTGGCTTAACCAGAAATGGACGGAGGGATTGGCATTTCAGAGGAGGTGAGGGTTTGGTCTCAGAATCTGTTAGAATCATAGAATGGTTTGGGTCAGGAGGTACCTTTAAAGATCATCTAGTCCAATCCACCATTGTGGATAGGGACATCTTTCACTAGATCAGGTTGCTCACAGCCCCATCCAGCCTGACCTTGAACACTTGCAATGACAGGGGTTCTCTGCCCTTATTCAGTTTTAGGAACTGCTGGACAAAAACAGAGATTGCCAACTCTTTGCTGAGGCTAACGTGCATTGCACCTTCCTTCAATGGTGGGGAAATCCAGGGAGATGAAGGGAAATGGTGTGGCAGTGTCATGCTTTACCCATGCCCAACCTCTACTGCTCTTGGCACAGAGGCATTGAATGTGCCGGGAGCTACAGTGCTCTGCATCCAGAAAACCAGTAGTGAAGAGGCATCAGAAAAATGGCTTTTGTTGGTATGTTTTGAGAGGAATTGCTCAGCTGTAATTCATTACAGTGATGTGCAGGAACATGCTGCAGCCATGCTGGTCCAAGTAGCGCAGTCCTACCACTGCTGTGTCTACAGTCCTCAGCTGGCATGGTTTCTGTCGCTGCTTGTGATTCCAAGGGAAACCAGACTGGAGATGGGCGAGAGGTGCTTTGCTTTGTGTGCCGCTCCTCCAACCTATTTCTCAGAGCTGTCACATGAGTTGTTCTTCCATGAAATATTGAAAGGGTTGGACCTCGTAAAAGCCCTTCTGAGTGCAAGCTTCTCTGCATCCAGGCCTGGCATGTAAGTGATGGAGAAGCTTTCTCGCTACCTCTTTCCAGTCCTCTCCCACCCCTGAGGCTTCCCCTCTGCCCTGAAGCTTCTGAAGCAGTGAGTCTGCACTGGCAGGAGTGCTGGGGCTAATGCTGGGGTTAGCACTCTTCAACTAATGCTGGGCTGGCACTGCATGAGGTCTGGGATGGCCTCCGGACTGACGTCTGTGGAGGCAGTGTTGGCAGTGCTGTCGGCAGGCTGGGCGCAGGCTGGGCAAGGAGACATGCTCTGCTCACTGCTCTTGGAGGCAGCAAAGAGGAGGCAGCAGGGGCATCTGTGTGTGTCAGCCCCTCCAGCAAGGGTGGCGGACTGTAGGCTGATACCTGCAGCACTGTGGCATCTGTGCTATCAATACCTGAGCCAACAGGGTTGAAAGCAGTCCAGGCTGCTTGCTTACCTGCCCCACTCCACGGCAAGTGGGATCAGAGCTGGTCAGAGTTTCCCAGGGAGGTGGCAGCTCCCCGCTGTGGTCCCTGCCCCATGGACTTGTTAGCACAAGTCCCTGGAGGACAGTTTTCCCACGGCGTGGCACCAGCTGAGACTGCACTGTTCCTACCTGGCCATGTGTCAAGCCACGTAGGCAGCGCAGGCAAGTGCAAGGGGTGGACAGCTGGCTGGGTTGTCTGAGGAGCTGCTGGAAGGTCCTATTGTGCTCAGTGGGACAAGTGGCGTCTGTGGGTGTGCTATTTCCAGGGCACTCTGACGAGGCGGGCGACTCACCATTGTCAGCATGTCAGGTCAGGTTTGCGTTGCATGCTCAGGCTGCTGTATGCACCTCCCTTGATTGGCATTTGCAACTTGCAGACCCAGCACACCAAGGCAGAGAGGAGCTGCTTGCTTCCTGCGTCTGCCTATGCCTTATAAAGCTTCTCTATGCAAATATCAAAGTACAAAACCCCCTATTTCCCCATGGCAATCAGGGAGGATCGCATGTTGCTGGGCTGGCAGTGCTTTTTCCAGGCTGTGTTTGCTCCAACCCCGGGCTCGTTTTGCCTGGGAATGATCTGTTTTCCTGCCCGAGATGCTGCCCTACGTGGCTTCTAATTACAAACTCTTAGTGAGCAGTAGAAGCATTCTTTTCTCCCCTTACTGCTCTCTACAAGCAGCAAAAGCCAGGATCTCCTGACCCCTCGACAGCCCTGCCACTGCTGGGAGTGAATTCAGTAGCTCCAAATAGCGATAATAGACCTGCCTGCCTCCAACCAGGGGACGTGGGTCCTGCCCCTGCAGGCAACTGACTGAGGCCTCTCTCTTGCTCTCTCTTCCAGCTCCTTCAGCTGTGTCCATCATGCACCAGGTCAGCCGCACCGTGGACAGCATTACCCTCTCATGGTCTCAACCTGACCAACCCAATGGAGTCATCCTGGATTATGAGCTGCAATATTACGAGAAGGTACTGCGGGACCTTGGCAGGGTTCAGCCACAGGTGTTTGGGAGAGGAGGTGGTACAAAGCTTCATGTAAGGGCATAACACCAGCTGCAGCAGTTGGTTCATCAGTAGGTTACTCCTCTTGCTGCGGTTGGCCATGTGGGTGGCAGTGGCTGTCAACCCATTGGAGCCCAGTGACCCTGCATAGACATGGCAATTGTGTAAAATCTGCTGGTCTTTCAGGAGGAGCTTCTCCTCCCTTCACCTCTCCAGCACTTGTGACAGGGAGACAGGGAGAGCTGGGTAGCCAGGGTCCAGGGTATAATTTTTCCCTTTCCCCTACGGGGGCATTAGTGGGGAGTGGGGATGGTAGGGATGTCACAGAGCATCTAGTCCCAGGCTGGACCACATTAGCTGAGTGTCCAGTTGTTGAGATTTTGTGTAGTGCTGTCTGTCAGTGCATTTACACCGAAGGTGAGTTTGGCGTCTGTGTGCAGCAGCCTGAACACCTTTACCTGGCTGTTGTACCAGGGAGAAGCTGTCCCATACTCCCATGGAGGGTACATACTGCACTGTGGACTCGGGGGAGGCTGATGTGAAGGGGTCCCTCAGCTCTGCTTCTTTCATCCCTGAGGAACATGCCCCTTCCACCACCCCTCTGCCCAGGCAAGCAGAGGGACTGCAAGCCAGGGCTGTGCCAGGGTGTCCATCCCATAGGGCTGGAGCTGTGTGGCTGCTGAGAGACCTGAACACCATGTTGGGGTTGGTCCCAGGACCTGCCAAGCTCTGCCTGGCTTGTGAACTTCCATCTGTGCTACCCAGGGGAGGTGGGGAGCAGGAGGTTTCTCCTTCCAGAAATCTGCCCCCTTACACAAGAGCTTATAAACTATACATTAAAAATTGCAAACTAACTAATTAAAAAGCTTTATGATTAAATGGAACTGAAAATATTTTTCCCAGCAGCTGCCGGAAGAAATGATTAATCCCCACTGCCTGCCTGTGACCTATTTTCTCATCACCAAGAGCCAGAGGGAGAACAGGGACAGGGGGAGCTTCTTTGTAAGCTGTTAAATAGGTCCTGACCTATATTGCATAAATCACAGCCATTTATTTGACCCTTGGAAATGATTCCAGAATATGTGGCAGGATGGACAAGTAGGTAACAAGACAGATCTGGAAAGCAAGAGGGGTCCTTTCCCCGGGGACCCTTGAAGTAGAGACAGAAGATCTCAGGGAGTTCATTCTCCTCCTCTTACTTTCTCTTAATCTCTCCCCCTCTTAATTTCTTCCCCCTCCCCTCTGTTTTCTGGGGGAGCCTGTAAATAAAGGGAATTTTTGTCTCAAGGGGAAACTTCTGTTCATGGCCGATCTTCACAGCCAACCACAAGGTGAGCATCTGCTTGCCACATCATCAGAGCTTAGGGCACAGTGTATCCCTGATTGTGGGGACAAGTGGCCCAAGTCACGCTTAAGCAATGCTTTTCATGGTAGCAAGCTCTGAGGTGGAACACTAGCCCTGGCAGGGAGGACAACGCAAGAGGCCCCACGTGCTGGTGCTGAGGTGCTCTCTGTCCTAGTATTGGAAAGTCGTGGTATATTTTTTTGCTGGTGCTTTGGTTGAAGAAGAAAGGCAAATCTTGATCTCCTTTTCAACCAAGATGTGTGTCATTCTCAGAAAGGAATCATAGAATGGTTTGGGTTGGAAAGCCATCTAGTCCAACCCCCCTGCAATAAGCAGGGGCATCTTCAACTAGATCAGGTTGCTCAGAGCCTCATCCAACCTGACCTGGAATGTTTCCAGGAATGAGGCATCTATCACCTCTCAGGGCAACCTGGGCCAGTGTTTCACCACCCTCAGTGTGAAAAATTTCTTCCTTATATCTAGTCTAAATCTACCCTCCTTTAATTTAAAGCCATTACCCATTGTCCTATTGCTACAGGCCCTGCTAAAATGTCTATTCCCATCTTTCTTATAAGCCCCCTTTAAGTACTGAAAGGTCGCAATAAGATCTCCGGGGAGCCTTCTCTTCTCCAGGCTGAACAACCCCAGCTCTTCATAGCAGAGGTGCTCCAGCCCTCTGATCATTTTAGTGGCCTCCTCTGGACGTGCTCCAACAGGTCCATGTCTTTACTGTGCTGAGGACTCCAGAGCTGGATGCAGTACTCCAGATGGGGTCTCACCAGAGCAGAGGAGAGGGGCAGAATCATCTGAACCTCTGGGTATATTTTTTTGTTGGTCCTTTGGTTGAAGAAGAAAGGCATGTCTTTATCTCCTCCCCAATGAAGATGTATGTCATTCTCAGAAAGCGATCATTGGGTCAAAGCTTAGTCCCACAGCAAGCAAACCTCGGAGATTTGGAAACAGGTTAAAAGAGAAGTTGAACAACAAAGAGCTAGAGGCAGGGCCTGGCCAATGACAGTGGATTTGTCTGTCCCCGAACTCCTCTGTGTGTGTTAGCCATTACTCCAAAGCCCCAGTTGCACACTCAAGGTCTGATCCATCAGTAGTCAAGCCAAGGTCTTCATATGATTCCGCTGGTCAGTTAAGAGCCCTCTGCATTTTCAACAATGCAGTGTCACCATGTCCTTTTCTGCCTGCTTGGCAAAGCTGAATGTCATGTTAGTGTAGCCACTGCAGTGCTGAGTTTTGCAATGGGAAGCCATATACTTAATCCCTGGGAACAGTCTCAAAATGCACAGCTTTGGGTT